GCGGATGAATACCCTCGACATTTGCTACTTTCGAAACACTTCCGTACGTCCATCTTTCATACAGAGTGAATGCGAAGGAAGTTTTGACTTTATTACTTTTGAATAACAATCATTATTGAAGCGAAATGATGAAATATCAGTAATTTTTCTGAAAAAATTCTTGAAAATGAAAGCTCAGTTCCATTCTTCCTTTGGCAAATCGGATGTTTCAGAAACGAATATGGTTCTTTTGTCTGCATCTTAAAAAACATAATTGGATTCACGTACCTGTAGAGACCATGTCGGATTTATATTTTAGTTCCAGGTAACTAGTACAAGCATCCTTGCAGGGCAGCTGTAGCGCATCGATGAACACTAGCACACGCGCTGCTGACTGCAACAATTGCATGAAAGCGATTTGCCGACTAAGATGATTTGGTTTCCAAAAATTCAGTGAAATTCCAGGAAGAACTTTAAATTCCTGGACAGAGAAGTAAATTATTTCTAGGAAGGATGCACGATTTTCCTATTTTTCGACAAATTCAGCAAATGAATATAATGATCTTGTTGTTTGATTAAGGCGCACTTACTACTCTTGAAATACTTAGAATAACTGTGCTCCTTATGGAATGTATTTACGGAGGTAGTTTTGACTTTTGGCTTATGATTTAGGAAGAATTGAGAGTGTTGTAGGCACTAACTAGAAAATTGCGACTAGAATTTAAAACGAAGGTCAGTCAGAAGCCATTTTCTTGAAGGCGAATATGTCTTTATTTGTAAGTTGTACAATAGGTATTGTGCTATCACAGGCAATGATCTTTCTATAGTGCTAGCGGTGACACCTAATAACAAGGTTAAAACTCTCATCGTCCGATTTTCTCCACCCTGCAGAAGTTGTAAGGAAATAATTTGAAAAATCTGAGTGATGAATATGCTTCAAAAAAGTCGCTTAACTCAAAAGTCTTACCCTAATCCTCCAAACACAATGACCATTGGCCGGTAAATGTGTACTGTTGATGAATTCGTAGCTCTGACCGGCGAGCAGATCGCCACCACAGTCTGGAGTTTCTGAAGAACCACGGCGTCTGAGGATCGACTCGATCATATGTTTTTTTAAACTAGTTGCTGCAGTTAAGCGTGAAAAAATGTGGTTAACAGCTGTCATAAGTCAAGAAAATCCTAAAGCGTTTATCGGTATCCTGGATCACTGGAATTCTTGCGAGCTGCAGCTGTAATGCTCACTAGGCACAATGTTAATGCTTTATTTTTTTTACGTTTACCTG